GAAAGGTGAAAAACCTCTAGATAAGGTTTCATCGTACAGGCCTATATGCCTGCTAGATACGATGGGTAAACTTCTAGAGGATATGGTTCTGCAGAGAATGCAAAGCCACTTGACCGAAGAGAATCGTCTATCCGATCACCAATTTGGTTTCCATAAAGGCAAGTCCACGGTCGATGCCATCCAGGCAGTTGTGGACATAGCCAAAGCAGGAAAAAACAAATTGGGACCTGGGAAAAAGAAGAGCTTCTGCGCGTTGGTAGCAATTGACATACGCAACGCGTTTAATTCCGCAAGATGGAAAGATCTCATCGAGTCGATGGAAAAGAAAAACATGCCGCCCTACTTGTTGCGGATAATGTATAATTATCTTAGCGACAGGTGGGTTATATATGAGGGAGACACCTGCACTCTCAAGGAAGAGATGCAGCGTGGGGCTCCTCAAGGCTCGAGGGTGGGTCCATTTGTATGGAATGTATCTTACGATGATTTTCTGCGAATGGATCTGCCCGAAGGTGCGGTGATCATCGGCTTTGCGGACGACGCGTTGTTCGTGTGCACTGCCGAAAGTGAGGAGGCTCTTGGGACATTGGTGAACGAATGTCTGCGACTAGCTAAAAGCTGGCTGGATACCAGAGGTCTTGAAATGGCCCTGGAAAAGACCGAGGCACTGCTGCTCACAGACAGACGTGGTTATGAGCTCCTACGAATCGTGATAGACGGATTCGAGGTCAAGTGGAGTAAGCAAATTAAATATCTTGGTGTGGAGTTAGATGGAAGGTTAAACTTTCACCACCACATGGCTACGGCGTCAAATAAGGCGATCGAGTGTGCGGATAATCTTTCACGGCTAATGCCAAATGTTGGCGGACCCAGTGAACAAAAAAGAAGACTGGTGGCGAGTGTCGCTCACGCTAAAATGCTCTATGCAGCACCAGCGTGGGCCTTATCCCTGAGGAGTAAAAGATGTGTGACCATCTAAGAAAAGATACTGTCTGCGCAGAGATCGATAACAACGCGTATCATCTCTGCATATAAGACGGTATCTACGAGTGCTGTGCAGGTCCTTGCAAGTGTCCCGCCAGCAGATCTTTTGGCGAGGGAAAGGGAAGAAATGTTTCTCTTTTCTAAAGAAAGCAGTTCCTTGAATGAGGAATTAAGACTAAGCAAGGGCCTGATCCGCAAAGAAGCGAGGCACAGGCTCATAGAAAGATGGCAAGAAAGATGGGATGGTGAGGAAAAGGTCGATGGACTTATCGCCTTATCCCGGCACTCGCCACTTGGATAAATAGGAAACACGGTCAGGTTTCCTATTATATGACTCAGGCGCTCACATGTCACGGGTGTTTTAACTCGTACCTGTGTCGCTTTAAATTACGCGAGGACGAGGTGTGTGCATATTGCCAGTTCCCTGAGGACGCGCGGAGCACACCCTCTTCTCATGCAAGAAATGGGACTTGGAGAGGCAGGCCATGTTCGAAGGTGTAAACAGTCAAGTTACACCGGAGAACATGGTATCGCTGATGACCCAGTCAGAAGAGAATTGGCATTTATTTTGTGTTTTATTTGTCCTTATACAATTTTAACTCATTATGTGATTTATTTGTCCTTATACATTTTTTTCTTTTTTAGTTTGTTTTATGTTTGTATTTGTCTTTATACAGTATTATGTTTTCAATCTTATATACGCGTTTATTTTTTTTTATATATCCGTTTACAATTTTATCTTTTGACTTTTTAACACTTAATTAAACATTTGTTTTTTTTGTTATTGTTGTGCTGTTAATTCCGTTTTTATATTGAAATAGTTTTAAATTTTTAACTATTAACGCAGGAGAACCGCAGAGAAAAGCTGAAAATCGCATTAGCGACAGAGTTGGAGCGCCCCCCTCGAAGGCTAAAGTCTTACGACAGTTCCGAGGGAGGGTAAAGGACTCCAAAAGAAGGGTTACGGGTTTTAGTGGGTCGGGCTGGCAGTAGGTCGCCAGTTTATTTAATTTACTATTTTATATATTTATTTTTCTTTTTTTCCAGATCCAAGTCCTTAACAAGGCGCCAGCTGAAGAGGTAAGAGTTCCAATTAAGGTCTCCTCCGTCTTCCGCGAGCGCCCCGCCGAGCAGCAGGAATTCTCCAGGGTAATCTCGCCCTTCAGTTGTTCTCCTTCCTCCTCATAACTTCGATGACAAAAGTCTCGACTTCTCGCCATGAGTCCGCGCTCTGCAACATAATTGAAACCATATTCTCGACCGTGACTTCAGTGCCCACGGCCGAAAACATGGCTTCCCTAAGTTCACGCCAGTGCCCGCAGGAAAAAAGCGTGTGCTCCGCGTCGTCAGTGTGCTCTGCTTCGTCGTCACCCGAACCGTTGCAGTACACACATTTCGCGTCTGCTTCTATTTTCAACCGATAAAAGTACTGTTTGAAACAACCATGACCCGAAATCGCTTGTGTAAGGTAGTAGCCTACTTCACCGTGTTGTCTTTTCAACCATGTGTCGAGGTGGGGAATCAGGCGATGGGTCCATCTACCTTTCAATTCCCCATCCCATCTCTCCTGCCAACTCAGAACGAATCTTTTTCTTGACTCTAAGCGGATTAAAGCTTTGAGTCTTTCTCTACGCTCCGGGTTGCCTACTAGATTTTTCGAGAGCTGGAAATTCTCCTGCCTTTCCATCACCAACAAATCCATTGGCGGTAATCTAGCAAGCACCCGAAGAGCGCAATCAGACACCGTTCTGAAGGCTGAAGTTATTCTCCTTGCTGGCTCTCTCTGGGCCGAGAGAAGTCTGTCAGAGATGCTGTGGATCTTAAGGGCTGAAGCCCATACAGGGGCAACATAAAGCTGCTTTGATTGAAACACAGTCGCCACCAGTCTTCGTTTATTTTCCCTGGGGCCACCGATATTGGGCATCATCCTCGAGAGGTTTCCCATGCATTCGGTGGCTTTGAGTGTTGAGATGTTAATATGTTGGCCAAAACTTAAACGTTTGTCCAACCACACTCCCAGGTACTTAAGCTTATTTCCCCATGCGACTTCAGTTCCTCCCATTTTAATCTTCGGGGCTTCATAAACTCTCCTGTCTGTGACGAGTAGAGCTTCGGTCTTCTCGAGGGCCATTTTCAGACCATGCCGATATAACCAAAACTCAGCTCGCCGCAGACTATCTTCAAGTTTTATTTTTAGCAGTTTCAAATTCTCGTCGTAACATATCAAAAGCACGTCGTCCGCGAACCCGGATATAGACGTATCTTTGGGTAAGTCCAACCTCAGAAAACCTTCATACATAACGTTCCAGATGGTTGGTCCCACCTTTGATCCTTGGGGAGCTCCGCATGTCATTTTCTCTTTGATATGACATGCATCGCTCTCGTAGACAACCCATCTGTCGCTAAGATAGTTGTCTATCATTCGCAACAGATACGTTGGTACCCCTTTACATTTAATTGCTTTCATACAAATGTCCCATTTCGCGGAATTAAACGTGTTACGGATATCGATTGAAACGAGCGCGCAAAAGCCCTTCTTCCGCTCCTCTTTGACTTTTTTCGCCTTTTCGAGAACTGCTAAGATCGCGTCTACTGTCGACCGGCCTTTCCTAAAACCGAATTGATTCTCTAATAGGCTATTTTCGCCTACTAGAATTCCCTGAAGTCGTTCTAGAATCATTCCCTTTAGAAGTTTACCCATCGTGTCCAATAAACAAATTGGTCTAAACGATGAGACCTTATCTAAAGGTTTATCTCCTTTTCTCAGGAGGACCAAACTCTGTGTTTTCTAGTCACTGAAAAACTCTCTACTCTCGAGACATGTATTAAAGACGTCGAGGAGTAACTCTGGATACACAGCGATTACCTTTTTGAGGATCTCGTTGGGTATTCTGTCGTTGCCTGGCGCTTTGCCGTTCCTCAACGTTTTTGCCACCTTTTTAAACTCCTCCAGCGTGAAGCCAAACCCTATGGGTCCTTCTCCACTTTTCCGATCAGGTCCTTCCAACACGATTTTTTGCTACTCCTTATAGCCCGCTTAAAAATATGCCTGGCTTTGTGCCACTCTTCTTGCAGCAGAAGGTCTCCCTTTGAATGGGTGTATTTCCTCCTCGCTGCGTTGCATTCTCTTCTTAAGCGGGCTAATTCGTCGCTCCACCAGTACAGAGCACCCTTCCTAGCTTTTGTTTGGTGCCGGCGAGGCATAGAGTAATTGCACGTTGCAATAATAACTCGCCTCGCCTCACGCACTTTGTCACCCACGGAAATTGGCTTCGTCATCCAGCCTAGCTCATGTATAGCTCGAGCCTCGGCCAGAGACTCCGCCAACTTCTCCCGATTTAGCCGTCTGAGGTTCCAGGAGGGTCTATTGTGGCCAACATGCGGCCTGGTGTTCCTTCCTGATTTTTCTCAGCGACTTTAAACTCTGTACTGGTGGTCACTCATAGTCGTTTCGTCCAGCACTCCCCACCGCACTATTCTACGGGCCACGCGGGGCGACGCAATTGTCAAATCGATGAGAGACCCTGACACCCCGCGCCTGAACGTGAACTCTTGTCCCCGGTTCACCACCACTGAATCGTTTGCTGCGACCATGTCCGATACCAAGGTTCCCCTCTTGTCTAGACGAGTCTCTTCCCATTCCGGCGACTTACTATTAAAGTCTCCCGCAATGAGGACATCTCCGCCGAAAGCCTTGATGCTTTCTTCAAGAGCCTGAACCTCGGCATTGAACTTTTTAAAAGGATCGTTTGGAGAGAAGTAGCAGCTGTAAACGCGTACTCCCGCCACTTCCACCCAAACGAAAACCCGCGTCGGTCTCCAGAAAGTCACCAATGGTGATGTCCGGATTACATATTTGAATACCTGATCTCTTGGATGCATCCTCAAACCAGACAGAGGATTCTAACTTCCTATACTGCTCATTGAAAAGCAGTATATCAGCTCCCCTCTCTCTGGCAGTCTGCATCAAGAGATCTTGCGCGACTTTTCCCTTCCTGAGATTAACCTGGAGAAACCTAAGCTCTGGACTTTAGATCTTTTAGTATCTTCCAGTACACCGGGCAGGCTCTGCTCCCTGAAGGATGTTTTGTGTCTTCCATCCCACGATCGGAACAGTCAATGCACTGGGCTACCCCTTTGCACTGACTCTTCCTGTGGTCGAGACCGCCACACCTCCAGCAAGCCTCCTTTCGGTCCGGCCCACTGCATCCTCCAGCCAGATGGCCGTAACAGAGGCATCTAAAGCACCTCTCTACTTCCACTCTGGCGTGGACTCTGCAGTTGACCCACCCTATTTTTACTCGCCTGGCCTTCAGTAACGACTCCGCTTCCGTTTCCGAAAGCCGCAGAATGGCCTTCTTCGTGTTACCATACCGAGCGAAAAGCTGACACAGAACTTCTAAGTCTGGCCTGCCAAGTGCACCTCGGACCGCCAATACAACATCTTCTTGGACTATGGTTTCGTCGAGGTTCATGCGTGTTTTGTGTCTTTGTGTGTACTTTACTTTTTAAATTTAACATGCGCGTGTGGAAAAAAGATGTCAGTGTGTTTGTGTCTTCTGGAGTAACTTATCAGAGGTGGGATCTGTACCGTGCACCATTCCCGTCGACCGCAGGACGGAGACCCGGTGCTTCCCCTCTCTAAGAGTCCAACAGTTCTATTTCCAGAGTTGGATGACCAGCTTCCCCAGTCTGAAAGAACGACCAAACGAACATTTCTTCATAGGGTTACTGGAACCACAAGGACAGCGGGGTTTAGCCCAAGCAAGTAGTCATCGCTTCCGTTTGAAAATCGAGTGTTAGAACACAGGATTATTCGCACAGATAGCAAATCCATCCTCATCGGTACTAAGAACTGCAGGAGCAAGAAGCGGAAAACAAACAGGAATCCGATCGGCCGCAGAGGAGAATGGTCCCTAAACAATCCACTTCTTAATACCTCTTTCTATTTATCTACAAATTCTTTTAAACAGTTCTCCATGTCAGTGGCTGATCTTAGATATAGGAAAACCGGTAAAGTTTTACTGCCCGAAAGGAGGGGAAGGAAATCTCCTTCAGTTTGCCTTAAAGCTCAAATTAATGTACACGATACATTATGAAAAAAAGAGATATAAAAACAAAAAGTATTTTCACAATAGTATGCACTAAAAAAGAACGTTCCTCGACCTCGCCTATCTTAATTCTCCGGAAACCGTTTTCACATTACATCGTGAGAATAAAGTGGTTGGCGATGCTTAAGCCGTACTTCGACTTGCTTCATCCTGCTTGGGTTTTCTGATAAGTTCCTTAATTAGCGAGATTTGTGTCTCGATCATCTAATTCGATCTTCTTTTGTCTAAGAAGATTTTCTCGCTATTGCGAGGTGCTGGGAAAGGTCCGCAAGGAGGTAAACTCGGAGAAAAGTCAGACTAGAGTAGTTAGAGCAAGACCAACCAAGAATGGAGACCTCCTCATTAGGATAGGTGGTTCCACAGACAAGAACGGGTTTACTGAGGAAGTGACCATAGTTGTGGGTGATTTGGGTAAGGTGCAAAACGCGGACCGAAGGATTACTCTGGAAATTCGCGACCTGGATTGCCTTACCCAGGAGGACGAGGTGCAGGAGACACTATCGGGTCTTATAAGTGAACCGGCAGAAAGCAGAAGAGTGACGGTTCTTGGACCTAACAAGCGAGGAATGAAACTCTCAGTTGTGGTCACCGACCAGGATCAGACTGCAAAGCTGGAGGTACTCGGACGCATAAAAATTGGTTTTATGTCATGCCCGATCAGAAGGAGGCTTATGATGGTGAGGTGTCACCGATGCCTCGGCTATGGTTACCTAGCAAGAGAATGTAACAGGACGGATAGATCAACTGCGTGCCTTAAGTGCGGTGAAGTCGATCACAAGGCTGTGGATTGCTTCTTGCTTTTTGTGTAAGGAGAAGTTCCCAGAAACGAAAAACGTTCATCACGTTGCGGGAAGTGGAACTTGCAGGGTCTTCCGAACTGCCCTTGAGGAGGCGAAGAAGACTTTCGCAAGGACCAAAAGTAGAAAAAAGGTGTAATTTCACACCACAACTTTTATGTCTTTAATCAACATTTTACTTTGTTCTGTTTAATTTAATTAATTTAATTACAATTTTATTTTTAGACTTTTTTTTTATTGTTGTGTTGTTAATGCCGCTTTGACATTAAAATGGTTTTACATTTTAACTATTGACGCAGGAGAGCCGCAGGGAACGAACAAGGTCGCATCAGCGACGGAGTTAGAGCGCCGCCCTCGAAGGCTAAAGTCTTACGACAGTTCCAAGGATGGGTATAGGGCTCCAAAAGAAGGGTTACGAGTTTTAGTGGGTCGGGCTGGCAGTAGGTCGCCAGTTTATTAAAATTATTATAATATTTATTTATTTACTTTTTTTATAATTTTTTTTTCTTTCATTGAACCAACACCACATAACCTTGGAGTGCGGAATCCAAGGTATCTGTAGGCAGATTTCTCAAAAGCCTCTAAGCAAAAGAAATAATAATAAAAATAATAATAATAATAAAAAGTTTTATAAAAAACATAAAATCTACCAATTCTTTAAATAAATTATAATATTTCAAAAATTTGCAATCATATTTTTAATGTCTTTATTACTTAGAAGATTAAATGATTCGTCATCAATCTCGTTTTCTGAAAAATTATTTTCGAAATATACGAGATTAAAAACTAAAACATATTTTTATGTAAGTAGATTGTTTATAACCTTGATTTTACAGTTCTTATTTTTATTCAAACGACAAGGAAAAATCGATTACTATTAAACACATTTAGAATTAATAGAAATTATTATTGTATACATATTACCAACCTTGAAATATTGCTTCCTCATAAAGGAAGCTTTGTATTAGCAAAATTTTGGATTGTCATTTTTTGACATATTTATAAATTTTTTTTATTATGCCTAATACTTTAGTACTTTATATATGCACAGGAACTCCCCGTATAAATGTTCTAAATAAATAAAAAAAAATTTCGACATATTTTGACCTCCGAAGTCCAAAAAACGGATTTTAAAAATTTGTCCCGATGTGTGTGTGTGTGTACTAACATTACATTTGCCTCAATATCTCAGAACGAGAAAGAGCTGAAGGCATCAATTTTTTTTAAATTGTAGGTCTCCCTTAGGGACATAAAATAAGAGTATTTTCAGCCCGATTCATGAAGTTTAACTATTTTTTTTTGCATTTTTCATTTAGTAAAAAAACGTTTTTAGGACATAACTTAAAAAAATATTAGGACACTTATAAATCTTTTTCTTTAGTTTTGTAGAGTTTTTTCAGACGCATCTTTTGAGCCCTAATTAAACATTTTTCGTCCATATTAACCGGAGATATTAAACTTTTAAAAATCAAAAATTTTGGAAAATAAGACTTTTTTAAAAATTTTGTTAAAAAGTGTAGAAGTTTAGTTTCGTTTTGTATTTATTTTTGTAGAGTATTTTTAAACGCATCTTTTAAGCCCCAATTTAACATTTTTCGTCCATATTAACCGAAGATATTAAACTTTTAAAAATCTAAAATTTTGAAAAATAAGACTTTTATAAGATTTTTTTAAAATTATGTAAAATTAACTTCAAAAAATTATTACCAACTTGAAGAGCATTAAAAAACGCTTCGATTGACCTATTTTTGATCCTGAATCGGTCAGAAATTATGAAATTATTGGTATTTGAAAAATAAAAAATTGTGGAAAATATCATTTTTTCAACATTCTTGTTTATTAATTTATGTGTAATTATTAAACTATTATTACCATCTTATAGAATATATAAAAACACATTTTTTAGACCAAGATTTAAAGATTTTTAACCCTTTAATAAAAAGTAATTTTTATATTTCAATTATTATTATTTCTATGAGGAAGCAAAGTGTTCATGAAATGAACACAAAAATTATAAGTATGTACAACTTGGCAGCGGTTTTTTGAATATATTTTTACTGATGTTCCCGGTTTTCATGCGATCAATGTAGGTGTATTTACAGGCTGTCATATTCTATAAATTAATTTTAATTTATAGAAATATTATTATTTATATAATAATTATTTATTTATATAATTTAAGCACTCTAATATTATTATAAATCAATGTTTTCATACACTTACTGCCAAAAACTAACCACAGTTTTTAAATGTCAAACTGACAAATGTCAAATTTGTATATCAACATTCACTTATTATTTCAAATTCTTTTGTACTCGCGTATTGCACAATTGAATATCGGATTGATGAAAATAAATATTCTGTAGTGTAAAACAAATTATAGTATATATGAGGCATTCCATTTCAAAACGACCCCCTTCGTAAACAATTGCCAATGTAAAACAATTTTTAAATGAATATTTCTTCCATTCTGTAGAACCATAGTACATTGTACAACTAGTGGCGAAAAATCATTCTTTCACCACGAGTTGTGCACTACGATTTCTCCAACGCCTTGCGAGGAAAGGTTTCTTCGTGAGTTTCGTATAATTTTAATTAAAAATGTTCTTATGTTTAATATAATAAAAGACGAATTTTACTTTCGCCACGCTCTTCAGAGCAGTAGAGAAAAGTTCTACTTTCGCCACACTTTTCTACCAAGAAAAGTACTCCTTTCAGAGCAAGTGTTGGAGAAAATTACTTTTTATATTAGTGATTTTGAAAGTAGAATTTCTGAACTTTCTAAAAATAAAAAAATATATTTTTTTAATAATTTAATTAAAATAGAAAATTGAGTTTAAAAGTTAAACTTTGAAAAATCTCAAAACACGTTACCTCCGATTTTAATAAAATTCATATCAAACGAAAGCTTGAACATTCTACTTTTTATTTATCAAGCGATAATAATGGACATTTCAGTGGATTTTGAGAAAATAATAAAATTTTACAAACATTTCGAAGGTTATATTGAGAGAACCATTTATTAAGTATAGGGCGGCATTTGTTTTTCTCCATTTATGCATATGTTACGTGAAAAGTAACTTACCTCTTAACATTTGTTATCCTCGTTTTAAATAAGAAATTCCGAAGAAATCTTATTTGGGAATGAGGAAAAAAAAGAATCAATAAATAAAAGTTAAGAATTAGTTAAAATGAAATTTATTATAAAATTGTATATAATGATTTCTTGAAGTTCGTTATTTGTATGTTGCCGAGAGAAGACCAGTTCCTTTTCCAATAAACACCTTTAACAAATAGGCGTTTATTAGATATAGAAATTGTATTGAATGGATATGATGAAAAGATTTAATTAATTACCTTTATTGCTTCTATTCGAAGCTGAAAACCCGTTCTTTGCTCGTGCGTCCACAGTCAGTTCAGATGCACCGCCTATCCAATTTTTACTGCTTGGAGATTTGACAATGGCTCGGTCACACACTAGATGGGTATTACTTAGACTGGGATAATCGTAGGTAACGAGTATAGATTCGCACTGACTACTGGTACAGAGATGATGTCGATCGGTTT